GTGAAAGGAGTTGTTCAAAGCTTCCACAGCAGATAAAATTGCCTCAGCAACCGTGCCGGATTCCAATCCCGAGTAATTTGTTGCAAATGTGGTCTCAAAAATATGACATCTGCAAGTTAACTTGAATGAATTTGTTAAGTTTCTCAGCAAGAGTGGGCAGTGGAAGTATGCGACGTGTAGGTGGAGGTGTGTTTATCAATGAAGAGCTATCCTGAGAGACCTGAGTTTTGCGTGTCAAGCTGTCAACCGCCATGTTGTCGTCTTCTGACCTCACCAGTGCTTCTAAATATTCTGACTGAACCACCCCAGCGTTGCTCCCCGCATCATAATCCTCATTATCATCATCATCATCCTCATCCTCATCATCTCCGTCGTCCTCATCATCTGAAGAAAGTGGTGGGCGTCTTGGATTGTTTTGGACCTCCATCACTAGTATTTCATTGTCATCATCGTCCTGATTTGGTTGTTGGTAGGCATTGCCATCAATAGTAGTGGCATCGTCGTCCGCAGCCTCAGCATTGTCAGTATTTTCCATCGATTCGTCATCATCCACCAGTGCATCATATCTATTGTTGGTCAGATTACAATGGCGCTTCCTTTGATCCACTAAAGTCGTTTTGTTCGAATGAGACTGGCCTACCGCATTGTCCAAATTGTCATTCATTGGATCACTGATCTTCTGAATTGCATGTTGAATGTGATGGGTCAAACTTTCTGGTCGGAAAAAGGACTGAAAAGATGCCAAACGTTTTTGTTTGATGCCACGGATGATTGACAAAGGCAGCTCGTTATAATAGTCATTGTCAAAGGTTGTTGCCCATGGATAATCAAACATTTCAGAACAAATCAACCAAAAGCCAACAAACGGATTTTCCAGACGAAGGCGAGGATCCGACTTGTCCCTGTCAAAGAATTGATTGTTGTTCTGGTTTTTTCTCAAATTCATCAATGCCAAAGAACAAGAAAGGGTTCTGCAATGAAATTTGCATTGCAAGAACTCGCAGTGACCAGACGTCTTTGGCTGCTTTATCCTCGATTGTGTAGAGATCAAAAGAGGAGATGAGATACTGAGCCAGTTGGGCATTGTCAGAGTTGAGATAAGTAAAAATCTGAAGAAATTGATTGTTGCATGTTGATCTGCCTGCATAGTTGTTGAACAGAGCATCAAATCAGTGTTTTGCCGTTTGTTTGTTGATAAATTCAAAGTTTTCTTTGTATAATCAGTACCAGCGCTACGTGGAGCAGATTGGCTGGTTCTGTGTGTTTGCGTGTTGTTTCGTTTCTGATTTTCTTTTTTCTATATCAGAATGGAAATAAGGGAATGCACCTGACACTGAGTGCAAAAGATTTACAAACTTTCAAATAGTATATTGATGTATCATTTGCAGTTCATTCAGATTTCAGAAGTCACACTGGAGGTGTATTGACTATGGGTGAAGGAGGATTACAAATAATCTCAAAGAAGCAGAAGTTGATCAGTCAAAGTTTGACAGAAGCCAAATTGATTGGTGTCAATGATGCTGCGACACAGATATTGTGGACAAATTTGTTTGTGGAAGCACAAGGTTATCCTGTTGAAGAAAACATCCTATACCAGGATAACAAGACTTCTATTCTACTGGAAAAGAATGGACATGATCAGATGTCATCAATCTGTCTCTCTCTGGGCGTCCTGCCTCTCACAACAGCTGATCTCAATTGGTTTCTACATGTGAAAGCACCGGAACCCTGTTCATCATTGGGATATCAACGTTCAACTACGTGAACGTCATAGCACTGTCAATGAGGGGATTCACTCACAGTTTGATATGGGTCCCGATGACTTGCCTAGGGAAATTCAACCAATGCTAACCAGTCGTTGACGAGTTCTTTGCAAGTCATTGGTGGACAAGGAAGAGTGGCTGAAGCTGCTTTGTCAGGAGCGCAGAGACTTCTGTCGCTCCATGAAAGCACAACATCGCAGTCTGAGGACTATTTTTTCCCCGGGACCCTGACCAACTTTTTGCGGGACCTTTTGGGCCCCAAATTCACCCCGCCATGTTGCGGGAGAAGTCCTTACCCTTTTGGTAGACTTGCTGAGCAACTTCTGTTCATGATACAGATACCTCACATGGTTCAAACTTGTTGTTGACTCACCGCTTCACAGTACTTGACATTTACAGCCGCATATTTCACCGGCAATCGAATGCCCACAGAGTAGCATATTAACAATTCATGTCTCAGGAAATGGCCCAACAAAATAGTTTCACATATGAAAGTGTGAAAGTGTGTCTCTATCTATTGAATAAGGCTGGGGTTAGGATCAGAACTGGTATACTATTTTTTGCTATGGGGGGTTGACTAGTATGACTGCATAGAGTTTGTACTGGTTCTACAAGGTAAATTTCTCGAAAAATGCAGGTCTCGGTTTTTGGACGATTTTCATCAGAAGTTCAGTCATTATCACGTAGAACACGCAGAATTAGTACCAATCCAAAGCCGACAGCCAGCAGATTTTGATTTATCCCATCATTGTTATTACAGAGGTCTTCATCAATGAAGAACTGAGTCAATTCAACACCTGACGTACATTGACAATATGGCCTTGTCAAGTGTCCAATGCCTATTATAATGGTAACAATCTCATACCAACATTGTCACTGCAGGATATGATATTAGTATCGGAGTGACATGTGCCCATTTCCAAAAACAAGCAATGAAAAAAGGTCGTTGCTGTTGCTGTGAAGTTACGGCGCGGGCAACAGAAATTGTGACCGTCGTATGTTCATAACTTATCCATCAGCATTTCTTTCAACCACGATGACGACAACCGCAGCACCAGCAGCATCGACAACAACAGCGACAACAACATAAGTGATGGCAATAATACCAACACAAACACAAACAACAATCACACTGGCTGAAGAAGAGCGGGAGGTGAAAAAGCAAGCGCAGGCAAAGGCAGGACAAGCAAAGAGCCTCGCTCTTTGCTCGTCCTGCCTCACTGAACATCACCGGCCTGTACATTTGCCAGGATATGCAAGGACTGCTACTGCGGTTTTTGGTACTTCTCCACATACTGGCAGTCTGAGAAGTCAGCCACCCATGGAACATCTTCAATGATCAACAAGAACGGTTTCTATTCCGTGCTGGTGGAGGAGGAAACAATCAACAAAGGAATGCGTCTAAACTACCTATTGAAATGATGTTCAAGCACCTCTGAGCCAATTACAATTTCTATGATTTTGTATTGCAGAGTGAATCCAAAATTGGGGGCTTATTGCACCGCGATTTTTGATGTCTCAAATACTTCCAAGATCCGAAGCATGAAAGTTCTGTCAGAAGTGACGGCAGCTGGTCTTGTGTCAACAACAAACCATTTGGAAGCAAGGTGAATCAAGGCATGAAAGCGAACGCAATTCTTAGGATTTGATATTATTGCTATGATAATGATGAAACGCTTAGTTATATTATCTGTCGAATCCAACACAGCTGGATTCGACAGATAATATATGGCGTCCTCAATTGACTAAATATTTTGGGAACCAAGAAAGATGAGTAATGGCCAACACGAGGCTAGATTTAAATGTAAAGAGACTACGTGTGTATTCGACGATTGAAGGCATGCAATAATCCACCGGTTTCAAGTAAGACTCGCAAAAGAAAATATTGGCAGAAACCTTTTTTGGGTTCCGTGACGGCCGACGCCGCGATAGGAAAATCTGTGACAGGAGTATGATCATAGATGATGCTTTCAGATTCTTGAATTGCATATTCTGCTTGAGCGAGAATACAATCCGCCTTGATGCAAGCATTGGAGACAATGGCTTGGTTCCAAAGGTGAAGAGACTAGTACAGTATCAGCAAAAGCAGTTGATTTTTTTTTTTTAGAGGCATTCAGCCTTCAGCGAAGACTGAACAATACTCAACACAATATAGTACCCTAACAAGATTAAAAATCAATGTCTACCATTTGATGTATCCATAGAAGTAGTCAATTTCGGTTTGCCAATCTACAATCCCATTCTTAAGGCCAGCTAGAAGTGATCCTATGGGATCTACAGGGCTTCCTTGTGATTGAGGGCTAAGGTTGGCCATTAAAACAAGGCGTCTAGTCGTTTGATATGGAACTGTCTCGAACATAGGGGCCAAATCCAACTAACAAAGTACCATTTTGTGCGCCATAATTTTTTGCAGTACATTTTGGTACATTTTATACAGCACTCTACATTAAATTTCACTGGCACAGATAATTCTGTAGATACATACCATGTTTCTACTGCTAGTAGCCTTTCTGTAGCCTGGAACATGAAAGGGGTCTTACTTCGTTTGGAACATGAACATCTCACAATTGAAAAAGCAAAAGGCTAACTCTTTAAAAGGACAATGCCTCATAGCAGCGGTGAGAAGAGAGGTAGCTCATCTTCATCCAATGACCATGAGAATGAGAATCAAAAGAGGCAGAGGTTAAAAGGCAAGTCCATCAGATTCCAATGCCGTGTTTCATCCCCACCTTTTCTAACATGGTTGTCTTTTTGCTAGAGGCAGCATTGGCCCGCAAACAGGCGGAGGCAGAAAGAGAAATGCAGTCCACACCAGAGAGACCACTGGCAACCAATACTACGGTAACCCCCCCTTCTGTACCTACAGAAGAGTACAACCCAGCAGGAGTTGACTCCCAACTTCGGAAGAGTGCAGGGATACGTAAAGCACTGCAAGACGAACAAGAGGCTGACGCTGGAGCTGATGCTGGAGCTGATGCCATGGAGCAAGAAGCTGATGCAGGGGAAACTACTGTACCATGTCCAGAGCCTCCAGCACCTCAAGCACCCAATAGGGCAACCGCTGACCCTCAGTACTTGCCGAAGGAAGAGCAGCTAGAGATACTGAGAAGGAGTGCCACTAAGGAGATGATCCACATGAATTTGAACAAGTTTGTTGGCAAACGCATTTTTCCTAATGCAAAGTTTCCACTATCTGAATTGCACAACAAGGCTGTATGCAAGTTGGCCGTAGGGTCAGAGGTGGTGAGGTTAGACCAAGGGGTGGACCCAGAAGTATTTGCGGAAGAGTACCACAAGAGTGTGAAAGAACGGATGGCGGCATTGCGACTGAATTGTCACAATGCTGCAAGATCAAAGTTTCTAAGTAAGTGATTTCAATTTTTTGATCTTTGGAAGAAGTCTCCTGTTGGTGTCTGACCCTCCTTTCTGAAAATTCCATTTACTACCAGATGACCTGAAGCTTGACAAAGTCCCATCCGATAGCTTGGTGGTCGATCTCCTGGAAAAGAACACTGATGCAGCTGTTGGATACAGGAGTTGTGGCCAAGGATATCGAGACTACCTGACAAAGGATGGCACAAAAGTTTTGCAAGCAAGGACAGGGCAGTACCAATCCTTTCCATTACCTAGTGAAACGGATCATGCCATCAATCAATTGCACAAACACCAAATTTGATGTGCGGAAGCAGGAGGAGACCATCAGCAACATCTTCACCGTGAGTAACGAGGCATTTGCCCTGGTGCTACTTGAGAACTATGAGAGTCGTTGGAGGAAACAGCATGAGGATCCCAAATCAGCAAGACTCCGAGGTAAGGAACATGCTGCTATAAGCAAGGAGTTCAAGGCAAAATTCATATCAAGTGACGATGGCTTGAAGCTGAAGTCATCTGGTTGGAGCCGACAGGGAATTGAAAGCTACAACAAGAAGTTGAGTTCAATTGGTAGGTTAAGAAGGCAATCCCGCACAGGGGCAGCCCTAGAAGAGTACAAACTGTGGAAGATGCGTGGTGGAGCAGACATTTATGTAAAGGGCACAGTGCCTCCTACTGCAAACGAGAGACAGATACCTATTGCTGAAGGATCGCTGGCTGTCCTTCCGGAAGCATTGGAAAGTATGTTTGCAGAGGTCTAGCCTCGTCAATAGATTGTCATTAAATCGTCAAATAAAGCAAATATGTTTGTGATATAATCAAAAGGATCTTTCCAATACATTCATAATCTGTATGCCCTTTAATCACCATTGACTGTTCTTCAGAAGGCAAGGAAACTCTGTTTTGTAGGTCATTGTAGTTGTCATAAATTGACAAGGATCTGGTCCTTTTAAGGTGTTGGCCATTAGATGAGATGACATGGACAATGACAAAGAGGAAGCCATCGGATGGCTCTAAATCAAATGGGTCCACTTCAAAAGGTCTTTCTGATGTCCTTAAAAGACAAATCCGGTGGGTGGAAAATCAAAAATGCATATGATCGAAATCACGGTCAGACGGCTTCGCATCCCAAGGTTCTACGACAAAATCAAATGGGAACTTTCCAAAAATGAGAAGGTTCTTTTCCTCAAAAAGACAATTTCCTTGTCATAAAAAGGACGAGGGGTTCTCATCTATCACATAGGCTTCACATGGGGTGGTGATAAAAAACACGGTGTCCTTGTCCTTTTAACCCAATTAAACTGTCAATTAAGGGAATTTTGCTATAGCATTAAGGGGAGAGTACTGGACAATATAGGACAAGTTCCATGACACCCAAAAGCACCAGGCAACTGTTTCAGATGCTACAACAGTCTGTGAACTCCATCAACCAGACAAAGACAACAATGGAACACAAGGTAGATCTCTTGATGAAACGCACACATCTGTGTGCCCAGACGTTTGCTTGCAAGTCAACGCCGCCACCAGCAAATTGTTTGACGTGACTAGTGATGTGTACAAGTTCGCAAGACTCCATGTCATCGACAACACAGGACAAGCAATTGCTACAGGACCGGGACCAGGACTTCCAGCACCATTTAGAGCCGCTGCCACATACTTCCGAATCAAGCTCCAATTGGTCCCACGGCTGTGTTCCCTACAAACTGACATTGGAATCGACCCAACAAAGTTCCCACTGTCAGATGGACTTGCTCTACAGACCTGAATGGGAGCCTCAACGCCCTGTCTGTTTCAATGAGCAATCCCTGAGATCGAATCTATGTTGGCTATGGTCTGCCTTTGGGCACCAGCGACTCTGGGCCTCAGCCTCTGGAATAAGCAGTAGTCTTATTCAATCAAAGGTCTTACTTTATTATCTCCTATACTTGCTTGGACCTCAACGTCCACAATACTATTCTTGCCAGAACTCAATTGATAGTGAGACTCTCAATTGAAGTTCAAAATCATCTTATAAATTCTCACGATTCTCATTCTTGATCACCTTTCTACGTGATGACGCGTTCTGACATACTGCGTTTCATATTACACACGATCGACACTCACCTCACTGCCGCATCACGTCACATAGACCACTGATCAATAATCGACCAATATGATTGCTCAATATGTCAATACGTCCAACACCCACCATCTTCCAACAGAGCTGTATAGGTTCCAGTGCCAAGAGTCCAGAACCAGATGGACGTATCCATCACTCGCCAAATGGTAATGGACCAAGCACATCACAAGGAAATCATCGCAGCAATGGCAGCCCTAGGAGAAGAATTCTTGATGAGAGCTGTGACCAGAGAGGGAGAGCCCGATAACGAAGCCTACAAAAAGTGGTCCAAGCAACAGATTGCAAAGACCTAATTTCAAGCACTCGAACAAGCACTCACAGCCACCTACGTTGGACTACAACAAGGAATGGAGACGCTAAACCAACAACTGGCAAAACTCAACATGATCCGACACAAAGGAGGCACGATGATGTACGACAGCATGGCAACTTTATTTGGCAGAATTGCCACAATTCTAAATGGGTTCAACCACAAGAACCCCCCGCCAACCAACCTATCAGACTTGGCAGGAGTAGCGTTCCAAGCCTTCACACAAGAAATCAAGGACGTTGTGGCTGAATACCTAGAGACAGGAGCAGCAGGACCAGTACTTATGGACTACCCCAGCAACCTGTCTTGAATGCACCGTCTACGCAATCGAGCAGAGAAAGAAGAGAGGCGCATCAAGCAACTCGTGGGAATTGCAAACAGCGTGGGACAAGTCAGGCCAAACAGAAGCTACGTTTCAGGGCTATCTGCACCACCAAGTCCAGGAGGAAGAGCTTTGGCAGGATTCCACCAACAACAATTCCAAGGATTCCAAGACAATTGCTCCTCCCAAACTCCAACGATCGAGACCGCGGAGTTATCAGCCAGTTTGAAAAAGCCTAGAGGACTACAGACTAAAGAGAGATCAGAGACGACACAAAAGAGAGATAACAAGTTACAAGGACGGTGGTTATATTAATCAAATTATTTATGAAACAATAAGATTGAGCATCCAGAAACGCGGGAAGATGAACGAAGAACACTGTTGATAAACTTGGCCAAAACAATCACCAAACACATGGGCAACAACAGTGGACAAAAGAGGAAGCAAATGAGAACGGACCCCCCACTCACTTTCACGACGGTCGGAAGCTTTGCAGCAATGGAACAAGCACAATAATTGGACTTCTCAGTGAGAAAAGTCCTAGCAGTGATGCACGTCCCAATTGGCCTCAACTGCGGAGACACAGCCAACTTGAAAGGAATATATGACACAGGAGGATGCTGCAACATAGGAGAAAAAGCATATCACCTTGCCATTGCAAAACAATACCCCCACTTGGTCAAACAGGTGTATGACTTTCCAAAGCTTCACTATGCCCCCATCAAGATTGGAGGAACCAAAGACAGTGTCAACATCAAGGCAATCATTGAATACTACAACCCTTTTGCCAACGAGGATGGAGAAAACACATGTTGATGATTGGATTGACGGAGCAACTACCCATCAACACACTCTGACGGAGCAACTACCCATCAACACACTCAAGGTCTTGGTGGACTTGCCCTGGTACAGGTCTCCCAACCTTGCCTCCCTCTGCATTTACCCCCTCCATCCTCAACGCCTGGCAAGCCTCCGCCGACCTCTGCACAGATTACTATGGGTGGGTCCCTGACAAGATTGAGGTACGTGGTGATGAGGCTGCCTTGGCCGATGCCCTGATCCAGGGCCGCCTCAGAATCATCAGCGATGGGTCATACAAAAATTACCTGGGAACTGCTGCTTGTTGAAATTGCTCTCTTGGAGACCATTCATTGGAAACTCCTTGATAGAAGCAGTTTGACACGTCTGATCGGACAGACAGACAAATGTCCGTTTGGTCCGTTTTATTCGGGGGATTCCTATGAGTCGGTTTTTGCAGGGAATCTGAAAACATGGAATTGTGGGCTTGGACTATCAAACGTCTGAGCGCCACGAAAATCCCAGACTGAATCCTGCGAGAGTTCTGTGCGTGGGTTTTGTACCGGCCTTTCTGGATTGCAAACATCCAGTAAAGGTTTGGGAAATTTGAGTTTTCGCGCAAGGCTTTTGCTTTGCCCATTCCATGTAGATAACAAGTCTTTTAGAATAGTTATTTCCTGTAGAGATGATTATTTCCTATTAGACGGATCGGAGATCGCTATGGTCAGTGCCTCTGCATGACGACTTGATGGGTTGCATATTGGCACGGCTGGTTGGCAATGATGGCTTTATGGGCCAAAAAGTTGTCAATCGGTTTGGACGACGACAAGCCTGTCGCTTGTCTGATGTCCGCCAGAACCAAAATCCAACTCGTGCAGCCCAATTTGCAATTCAAGGCTAGATGGCAATTTTTCTTTGGCTACCTTGTTCGGTGCCAGCAGCCATTCATCAAGAAGAGGGAGGTGAAAACAGACCAAAATGAGACGTTACAACAGAGTCGCCTAAATAGAAGAAGAGGGGACGTAACATGACTGACTGGACTGCCAAGTCCCAAGCAGATATATTAGAGCGATCGAAGGCCAACGGTCGTCGCCAATCTCAAGCCCAAGATCAATCATCTATCATCTACTCACAGCTGCTTCAGACCCCCCTAAATACACCCCAATAGCAATATCAATCACCGTCTATCATGCCTAGTAGTAGCTACATCAATGCACTAGTATGCTCTCTCTACGATGAGAGTCAGGAGACCAACGTTGTCACGTTAAACCTGAGCCAGCTGCACAAAACCAAAACACGTGGATACCGTACAAAATCTATGTAAAATTGACTCCATCAACCACAATTGCAATCTCTAAATGCTCTTTACCAAATATGGCCACCAAAGAACTGAACGCATAGCGGAAACTATTTTATATCAAAGAAAGGGTACAACAAGCCTCCGTAAGTGGAAATCATTGTCAGAAGGCGCTATGAGATTTTGACATTTTACAAAAGGCCTTTCTTAGTTTTTCCTGGTACTAGTCCTACACAGTCCTACACAAGTATTGACTGCTGGGAAACATAAGATTGTAGATGTGGAATTGGTCCAACAACATAATTCCACCTAGGAAAGTGGTTCTTTATCTATTATAACATATTCCAAAAAAAAATACAAAAGCAACACGCATTGTTGGGATACGACAAAATATGAGTTTTTACGTTCCAAAAAGAAACTATTTAAGTACAAAGCTTTTGACACGTACGATCAAACTTTGATCGGGATTTGATGCAAGTATTCCGGACGCAAGTCTGTGGGACAATCTATATCCACACAAAAAGGGAATGACCCTATACAAGTGTGGTATCTATGTTGTGTACGATGCAGTAGGGAATAATACAAGAAGTCCCAAAGTACTGCATTCAACACAGAATCCTCGTAGAAGTCAAATCAAGTTCTGTGAACTCACTTTTGCGATTGAATTATCAATTCAAGCCAAATATTGTGGCCTTTGTCTTCCGCTTTCCCACCCATAATTTGGTGGCTCTCTCATTTGCACCATAGCTCGGTACCCCATTTGGTCCAGGTTGTCTGTCAATCCTATTGATTGTCCTTTTCGAATCCTATGATTCGACCTTGGTGCAAACCAGTCACTAACTTAGTACCTCGCTACTGTGCCAAACCTACTCACTTCTCGTATGTAGCATCAGGCTTTTGCCACAGTTTCCATGGTAGCATACGTGCACAATCTCTCCAGACAAAGACGACATCATGCAATTCAAGCCCAGGAGTGGAGGCGGTGCCGGGTAATCTTTGATTATCTGTCTTCTTGATGAACAACAAATTTGTTCTGATCAGGATTGTGTCAAATTGGTACAAAATCAATGCACAAAATACGTAGAAACACTGTGCAAATTTAGTATATGAAGAAACCCGGAAATAGATATTTTTTGGCAACCGTACTTGAGCAGTTGTTCCTTGTACAAAATTCCATGTGTGCCTGCACAGAAAGCGGAACTCAGGGATACCCGCAGTTTGTTGTAAATCATGATTCCTCTGATTTTTTTTCAAGTCCTTGTGGTCATTTTCACCCGCTTTCGCACAAAGTCAATATGATTGACTTTACTTATTACCAAGAAAATTCACCACTCAACTATTTAGCAGACCTAAATTTTGTTAAGCATCCAACTGTGTTTAACCCAACCTTCACAGAAGAATCACAGAGAAAATTGTGGATGTCCATCGAGATGCACTTCAAAGTGCTTACGTGGACCTTTTGACTAAGGTCTAGTTCTGTACCCAACTGAAGGAGCTTCTACAGTCCCAATACCTTGGGCCTGTTCTATGGGCTGTTTCACTCTTCCCCTCTATGATCAAAGCTTGTTGTATGATCATAGTACTATCATATCATTCCGTATCAAAGTGTAGTCACAAAGGCACCCTTACATCTACAGTTCATACGAGAGGTGGTTCTTGACGCAACAGGCAATTCAAACTCATCGCTTGCTAGACTTGACAAAACGGCACAAGTGGTCATATATTCAGTCTCTCAAAGACTTGAGGACTCCTGCAAACTTCAACAGTTCCGTTAGTAAACACACGAGTAAATTGATACGGACCTTCCATCTTTGGATCCAATTTACTTGGATTGAAATTCTTGATCAAAACTTTGCCACCAACGTTGTAATCAAACTCCTTTTGTTTAGCATTTTGTTGCCGTAGATTTTTGTTGACCATCAAATGTCGCTTTTCTTGTATACTCAAAAGATTGACAATGACAGGAATGTTGAGGCACTGGCGGATGAAGACGGATTGAGTGGGGGAAATGCTGACAATGCCGAGGCTGAGGACGACGATGCCACTACTATTGACGGTGATGCCTACCAACAACCAAATCAGGACGATGATGACGATGAAATACTAGTGACGGCGGTCCAAAACAACCCAAGACGCCCACCACTTTCTTCAGATGACGAGGACGACGGAGATGAGGATGATGATGATAATGAGGATGATGATGCGGTGAGCAACGGTGAGGTGGTTCAGACAGAATCTGTAGAAGCACTGGTGAGGTCAGAAGACGACAACATGGCGGTTGACAGCTTGACAAGCCCAACTCAGGTCTCTCAGGACAGCTCTTCATTGATCCATACACCTCCACCTACACGTCGCCTCGCTCCACCGCCCACTCTTGCTGAGAAACTTAACAAATTAATTCAAGTTAACTTGGATGGGATGACCTGCAGATGTCATATTTTTGAGACCACATTTGCGACAAATTTCTCGGGATCGGACTCCGGCACGGTTGCTGAGGCAATTTTATCTGCGGTGCTGACATCCATGGAGGAAGCTTTGAACAACTCCTTTCACGAGTTGAAGATCCTTCCTATCTCCGACGACACTTATAAACAACAGAACTGGTGGATTCGGAACTCGGTTGAGTTACGCAACAAAATTTTGTCCTACCGGGCCCTGAGTCTTTACTGTGATATGGAATATGGGAATTCTCCTTATGCAGCAACCAACAGCAAGCCTGGCGAGAAGAAACTACGTACCCGAATGCAGGTCGGCTTTGCAAGGGACACCTCGGAAGAGGCGGTACAGGACTATCTTCACACTGGTCTCCGTTCCCAGGGTCGCGGTGCCGGATGTTACCCGTCGCCGCTTCAATATGGGGACATTGTTATAGTGGGTTGCTTTGCCTTTATCCCGCCGGAGGTTAATTTTGACGCCTATGCGAAAGAAATCATGCGTCACTTTGACTTCTCTATCCCTATTGGAATCAAGATGGACTGGGTTTCTACACCTTGCACAGGACGTGCTAAATTCAACGAACGTTCCCCCGGCGTAACAAGTCCTCATGGGTACACTCACAAGATTCATGCCAAAAGAGTCGATCGAGAATTAAGAAGCCTTCTTAATCCATCCACAGCAAAGCCAGACTTCCCCTTTGCTGCTCCGGCTACATTTATCAGTGATTGGAAGTCTGCTCAACAGGGCTTGATCAGTGTGAAGGCCTATGGTCCGGTTAAGGATGCTACCCTCGCCCTTACTAGCAAACTACGTGATTACTACATCCTGACAGAGGTCCTGTATTCGGTCATGGATCTGCCTGGTATGTTCAAGTTCGCAACTACTACTATGTTTGGCTCATGCACCTTGTTTAAGCTTCTCCTGTCAATCAAGGCAACCCCAGCTCAAGCCAACAAAGCTTCTCATGTCCATCAATCAACAACTGAGACTGATGACTCAGATGATGACTCAGACAATGACTCTTCTGACGACGATCCCAATGAATCCTCTGGCCCTAAAGGCGGTCAATTCACAGGAGTTCGGTCTAAGAAGGCGGCAACAAAGGTGAAAAAGAAGGCAACGAAGAAGAAGAAGTTGATCACTGAGAATGAGAATCCGTTCCTTAACGATCTCTCCCCAGCCCAACGGAAAATGGCTGAGGTTGCTGACCATAAGCTGAAGAATGATCAGGAGCGTCACAAGTCCGGCCCGCTGTTCTTGATGGTTCTACCCGGCGAGATGGAAGGCACCTACATCCTGGTGTGTCGCAAGAAGTTTGGACAATTGGCTCGTAACGTCTTGAGGGGCTTGGTCCCTTTCCTGACTCATCACCTGTATGAGCCAACTCTGACAAAAACCGACCAAGTCCTCCGTAAATGGGTTCCGCAATCAGAGATCAGTATGGCTCGACGTAAGAACCTCAAATGGTGCACAAACACTCTCCGTGCAGTGGAGGCTACCGCATCGCCAGACGCGGTGGAAGAAGCACTGGAGTTTCTGGATGATGTGATGGAAGACGCAACGGATGTTTATGATGGGCAACTCTTGATTGATTTGGATATGGCTAACAATAAAGATATTGATGATGGGAAGACCGTGACGGGAATGATGGACAAGATGCAGGAACGCGAGCAACAACTGGAAGATGCTTTCAATGAGATTGAGATTCGGGACAATGCACTGGAGGCTCAGGAACGCGCCTTGGCACAACAACGTGCGGACAATGCGGCACTGCAAGCACAGCTCGCTGCCCTCCAGAGTCAGGCCAGCCATCCACCCACCATGATGAGTCCGCCTGCTCTCACTCCACCCCACAACAATCGCGTGTCCCCTGACCGTCAAGCAGTGAACCCACCGGTCAGATCTAGCAACAGAACCTTAGGCAAGTCATCCACTGGGAAGAGCTCTATTGTTCCCAACACAGTGACAAAACCAAAGAAGGCCATCAAGCAGGGCAAACCTAAACAACCGGCCAAGAAGGCCCGTACAAGTGCAGGTGTCCAATTTCAGGAACCATCTTCTGCCCAACCCTCGACAGCCTCGGCTGTCCAAGTACTAGACACGTCTCACATGGAAGGGGATAACACCACTGCCGCATCTCAAGATGAGAGCCAAACCTCCTCTCTTACTGCGTCTACTCCACGAGGTGGAGGGTCTCCATTCTTCTCTCCTCCTCCTGGGAAGGCGCACAGTGATGGCGCCAGTAAATCCTCTCGGTCCTCCCGCGGAGCTCCCCGCTCCGCGGAGGGGCCATGAGAGGCCCACGATCGTCTGCAGCTAGGTCACGGCGTGCAGGCAGAAGATCCCGTATTAGTGGCCCGTCAAGTGGAGTCTCTCACGCTTCACTGGACGAATATTTACGTTCTCTTCCAGCAGGGGATTGGTCTGGCGATGATCACCGTCGTCATTCTTCACTGGCTACTCGAGTCTGTTTCCAGAATGTCAACGGATTACCAGAAAATGGCAATGACTCAAAGCAACAACAGATCAACTTCTGGCTGAAGGAGGAACGAGTGGGAATTGCGTTGTTGGCAGAGGCCAAGACATTTTGGCCGTCTATCAATGAAGGTCACGGTTGGAGTGACAGACTCCGTCAAGCTACGATGAAGTCCGAGCAAAAAGGGTTTTACTTGTCGGTAGCTTACAATCCGCATCAGGACAGATCTGCTGCCACCTCGGCGGTACAATGGGGTGGGTGCATTGCAACCGTTTTGAACCAAGTGGCGCACAGGGCCAAGGAAGCTGGCAGAGACCCCACGGGTTTAGGACGATGGGCCTATGTCCGTCTCCAAGGAAGGAAGTTGAAAGTCCATGGGGGTAATGTTCAGGACTCTTTGGTTGAGGTAAATGACTTAGTTTGTGGTCCGATCTCCAAGGACTTGGTGGTGGTCTCCGCGTATCGTCCCAACAAGCAAGGCCTCGGTGGATCTACAGTATGGGCACAACACAGGCTTCACTTTCATGCAGTGAATCGAAAAGTTAATCCAAGGAAAGCCTTTGTGGACGATCTTTGCAAACAGATCACCAAATGGCGTGATGAAGGATGTGAGGTGGTGTTGGGTATAGATGCAAACGAGGATGTCACTGTGAACGCACCCCAGTCTATCCGCCACCGCTTCCGGGCCTGCGGTCTTGAGGAGGCAATCCTAAAACACCATCCACCGCAAGCGACCCACCAGCGCAACCAACGGAACATTCCGATTGATGGTATCTTCACCACTTCGGGCGTACCAATCCTTGCGGGTGGGTACTATGCCTTTGACGAATTCTTTGATTGCGATCATCGCGGATTGTGGATTGACATTGATCTTTCCGCCTCCTTGGGCAACTTCCAACCTCAGAAATCCAACTTCAAGCCACGGAAGTTGTCCCTTCAAGACTCTCGATCTGTCCGCAAATATCTTCAATTGGTTCACAAAGGTTATGCCAAGTACTCCATCCCGGAGAGATTGAATAAGCTGAATAAGCGTATTGCTCACCTGGGCCACCAGATGACCCCTCCCTTGGTGCGCAAATACAACTGTTTACACAGACAAATGTATACTGTGAGGCGCCAGGCGGAAGAGAAGTGCCGGGCCTTAGCTCCAGGTAAAGTTCCCTGGTCACCAAAAATGCAGGGATTCTGGGATCGTATGAGCCTGTGGAAGCTTCTGTTGAAAGGCAAGAAGGGTTGCCGTGTCAGTTCGCGCAAAGTTCGCCGGTTGATGAAGAAGACAGAGTTGCCACAAGCTTGGAGGAAGTCAGAGGGTGATCTGGAGGACTGCCTGAAGCAAGAGCGCTCCTTGTACAAGCAGGCCAAACACACCTACGCAGCTCAATGGAGGAAAGACTTCTTGACAGTCCAAACCAAGGACGCAAAGAAGCATCAGTGGAAGTCTTGGAAGGCCCGTGATAGATTCTTTTGGTTACAACAAATGAAGCAAAGAGAGGAGGCGAGACGCCGTTGTTGACAGAATTGCATCAAGAACGGGTTTCATGACTCGGACCAATACGATTCGTACGTTAGCAGTCTTATGGGTCTTATAGTAATTAATAGTAAAATAGATATGATGACGTGTCGTCGGATGAGAACAGTTGGAACTTTGCGCACCAAGCGCATCAACTGTTCGTCAATTCCCGATCGACTCATCGCGTCGTGTTTTGTTTACCTTGAATTGATTATCTTATCTTCTAGTGTAACTTCGAGCGTTCCCCAAGAATAATTATATTCTGTCAGATTAACAGTCGCAGTTACGCACCATCAGCTAACTGCCGCCGTTTTTCCCACAGAAAAACGACCTCTGCTTCCTTCAGAAGCACATTTACAAACTTTTGCCACTTCATCGGCATTTCGGCCCACCGCAACACCCAAACTTGCGATCTGGCCCAGTCCTTTCCGACACCTACAGTCGACAACCAGAGTTTACCTCTTTCCTCTGGTTTATCAATCTCAAAGGTTTTATAGCTGCCGCGTTTCAAAGTCGACTAAACTTAATTGGATCACCAGAACCATCACTGTTGACAACTACGCGAAGACCCAACGGCACAAAAAGGGTATTGGTTCCTATTTTATTTCGGTGGTTCTTTATTTCGGTGTTCCAGCCCTATTGGAAGCCAAAGGGAGTTAAGCGCTGGGCATCCGCCGAACCCGTGCTTCCCCCACTTGTCGTCTTTTGCTTCCGGTGTTGAGAAATCCACCACAAAGACAGCTCGTGAGGTTCATTGCCCGGCTGTACTGCAATTAAACGAGATGGTTCTCGTCCCTAATAACAGACAGCGGCACACAGATCGGTTTTATTTTAAATCGACTGAAACTTGTTCTGGATTTTGTACATCCGTGAGTACAACTTCCCGCAGTCCTTCCCAGCACCCCCGGAGTTGATCGTCGTTGCGTGCACAACGACTTTCGGCGTGCTGCTTTTCCTTTTTCCACTTGACAACCAGCCAGTTTTCGACCGGGCACTTGTTGATCGTTGGAGCACCGGGACGCCTATACCCGTAAAGGTCGAGGGGTTTTTCCAGCCTCTTGTAGTCTTCTGCAGCCAGTCTCTTACAGACTCAGAAGACAAGTCTCCGTATTCACATCTGCAATCGACCAACTTCGGTCGGTCATTTTGCTGATTGTTGAATACGGCGGTAAACGGATTTAAGAAGGTCAAGGGAGTTTAAAAGTCTATAGAAAAGAGACCACTCCTTGTTCCAATTCGTTGGGACCTTCGCTTCTGTTCTGACCTGCAAGACGTTCAAGAAAACCAGGAAAGCCTGCCGGCAATCCTTGGGACTAGTGTGACCGTAGGGTATCCACTAGTACGGAACGTCAATTCCTCGACCCCTTTTCGTTAGGGATTTACTCGACCGACCTTTGCACCTAAGAAGTTTTGGGACAGGCATCGTCCCTAGAGTCTTCGCTCTCGTGAGAGGACTCTTCCCCTACTTTTCCACCCCACAACAACAAACCAGAAATGCCAACTACTCGGAGCGGTATGAACTCTACACCCGCTCCTCCTGCCGGTGCTGCCAACCAACCTGTCAGCCCTGCTACTTCAACTGTTGGCAATACTGCCGGTACGCCCGCCAATGCTACCGCGCCACCTGGTCGTACCCTTGCAAGCCTTGAGTTTGCTGTCACAACCCTCTTTCGAGAGCCCCTAGACAGCCCACTCATGCGTGCTCTTCGTCGCGATGGATGCTTGCACTTCATGCACCTCCTCTCCTACAACGAGAATGAGCTCCTTGCATTGAAGTATGATGCACCCATCATTGACCAATATGGGGTGGATACTGGCCAAACTCAGCTTACTCAGCTTGAGCGGCCCCATCGTGGCACTCTTCGGGCTTTACTTGGGTATGCTTACCTTCGTCAAAACGTCCATGGCAATCCGATCACCCCGATCAATTGCATGAACATTGACGTACAAGCGTTCTTCAATTATCAATGTAGTGGTGACTTTATAGTTTTTAATAAGTCCCTTTTACCACAACCTCTTGTTCCCAAACCTGCTCATTGCCAACCTGTTGACTCGTCGTCCGCTACTCTCCTTCCAACACAGAAGGAGACAAGTTCAGACAGTCACCTAGCCACCGTACGCAACGAATTTGCACCCAAACATGGGGAGTTACAACGGCCAATGAGCGACGAATCAGACCGCCAATCTACAGTAGACGTAAAAAGTAATCAATATAGTGACACTACTAGTCCTACTACTAATGATTCTTCCGCTCTACAACCTAGTATTTGCACCTCTGATGGTATCAATATACTCACTGGTGGTCGTGCTGATCAACTTATTAGCACACCAAGCACCATGAGTAGACTGACACTGGACAAACTTGACATCACCCATCATGTCACATTCGACTCCAAGCTTGAATGGGACCAAACTCTATTGGATCCCAACATTGACAAGCTAGGCAAACAAATCTTCCATTCTAAAATCGATCGCAACTCAAACTATTTTAGTCTTGAATGGGACCAAACCTTATTGGACCCACATAATGGTGATCTTGCGAACTTGTCCAGTCTTGAGTGGGACCAAACCTTATTGGACCCACACATTGACGACATGAATGAACAAGTTCTTAAAGAATGTGAGAGTCAATCTGATAGAGTAGGCATCCTAAGGTGTAGTCAAACTATTCTAACTCTGAATGAAGCCTCTGAAGATGAGACTCCCAAACAACTAGATGATTTTGACACTGCTATGGATGGCATTGGTAATGCCACACTCGTCTCCAACCTTGACTGGGACCAAACTTTATTGGACCCAAACATTGGCAATCTTGGCCGTAGTGTCTCTGCCAACAGCACTCGCCACGGCTTGCTCCTTCAGTTGACGGAAGCGAGCATGGGGAGTGATTCTGATGCTCTTCTTCCTGAACAAGATGAGACTGAGGAGTACCCAATGGATTTGGAGAACGGGGAGCAACAGTGTGTGATGTCTGATAAGCTGGCTATCGTACCGGCTACCAAGCATCCTCTGCCTACACCCCCACAAGAAGCCAAGCAACACGAGCTTACATTTGATGGAGTAAAATATAGATCAGTTAATAACCATACTATTATCTGTTCTATCCAGAAAGTCAACGCTCGTAAACACCTAGCTTTGATTGATAGAGGTGCCAATGGCGGCATTGCTGGAGATGATGCCCGCATCATCCACAAATCCAATTGTACTGTTGACGTACAAGGCATTGACAACCACCAAGTGGCTGATATTCCTATAGTCACTTCGTCTGGATTAATCCACACCCAACGTGGACCTACCATTGCCATCATGCACCAACGAGCCTACATTGGAAAGGGTCAAACCATTCTGTCCAGTGGACAAATGGAACACTTCAAGATTGTCGTGGACGACAAGTTTACCAAAGCTGGTGGTCAACAACGCTTGGCAACACCTCCCAACTACAATTCTGAAGATGAAGAACGTCCGTTTGATCTTGTAGGAGTCCTTAAGAATAATAAAGCTCTTACTTCTTTCAAGGAACCTAAACTAGATGGAACTATTGATTATTTTCAGAATTTCAATTGTGTTCTTCCAACTGATGGACTGTACGAGCAGCGCCATCGAGCATCTGAAGACCTTACCTGGTTTGACTGTAACATGGCTGATCTATTTGGCTTTGATGCATCACTAGAAGATTCACCCATCCCTGAGTGTTTTGAGGTCTATGAGGCTTGTAAGCGTCCTTCAGTACTGTTTGACCCAGGACAACCAGTCAACTACGATATTGAGTCAGCTACTTTGGAGGCCAATTCTTTCAAGGACCTCATACTTGATTCGGACAAGCCTACTCTGAAGCGCAACCCACGCCATAAGGCTTGGACGACACCTCATGGGGAGTCAGATCGTTGTCCACCGCCAAGAGTACATTTCGATGATACTCTGACTGTCCACGAGAGTAGTAGTCAAACCATAGCTACTATAAAGAACTCTACACTAGAGGGTACTGTTGCTTTCCTTACTGACTTTGTACTGGAAGACGACTTGCTCCAACAGTTGCCGGAAACGAGCATGGGGAGAGATGATGCTACTAGTGCTCTTTCTCCTGTACATGGTGGAAACAAGTCAGATAGAGAGTCCGACCAAACAATAGATGAGATAGTCACTAACGAATCTATTTTAGTTTGTGCTCTTGACATCCTTGAAGACACTCTAGACTGTACTCTTGACTTCCTTGAGCCACTCGACTTTGATCTGATCAATCGTGGATTGAGCACCGCTAACATTCCAAATGCCACGCTCATTCCTAAGCATTGTACTGATCATGACCGAAACGGATTGGACTCAACGGCTATTGGAACTGGAGAAGCTAAGCCGGCCTTCAACCAAGTAGACAGTCATAATTGTAATAGAGCCTTACCCTTTACTACTATGAACGGACATTCTGCTTTAGATAGTGCAATCAACTTCTTTCAATCCTTTGCCTATGCGAATCCAATAGATGGACTCCATGATGTCCATCCTCCACCAACTTCTGAACTAGCTAGACTTGAACGTAGCATGGAAGATCCTATCAACCTGGATCGCACCAGTGCAACTCAAGTTGCACCGCCAGAGCTTGAGATCTATCAGTCTCACAAGCAACCCTCAACTCAAGAGGCGCGCTTTGAGCTGGTGTTGTATCAATCTCACCAGCAATCCTCAGCCCAAGAGGCGCGCTTTGATGATGATACTCGAAAGCCTGATGGGAGAAATGGTCCACCACCTTGCAACAGTTTTGAGCATGGGTTACAACCAACTGAGGTTGAACTGAAGAACCCAAGCTCGGCTGTGAAGTCTCGTGAACGCGATTGGGAGCGCCTTCGCAGCTACTTTGCATGGTTGCCCAAGCTAGTCATCCAAAAGAACTTGGAACACTACTTGGAAGACTCAACTCAACTAGCTACGATAACTACTATAGATATTACAGTATTGGTGCCATCCAACTTTGTATCTACATCTAGTGCTAGTCACCAAACCAGGGCCGG